ATTCCAAGTCCAGACCTATGGGTGCAGTAGCCGTCACAGCATTCCGGGGCCGTGTTCCCTCGAAAATTGTTCCCACAACTCTTGAATATTTCTCCAGGAGCATGCGTTGAAATAAAAAACAAAAAACGGCGGAGAGGTTGCAGGCCTCCTCGTGCGTTGGCTGGCTTGGTCGCTCACCCCGGCGGCCTTGATGACAGCCTCCGCTTCGTTGATGTTGGCCCTCGCCTTCGCCGCCACCTGCTGCTTCTCCGCTATCGCCACCTCCAGCTGCGTGCGGACCTTCGGTACCCTGTTGTTGGTTCGTCCCGGCAACGTGCGGCGTGATGGGGCACGGTACGGTAAAGTCGCGCTTTACGGTACGGTGTGACATGACCCCACGTTACAAAACAAAACAACTTCAACGACGCAAAAAAAATCAAAAGCGAAATCAAAAATATTTCGCAAAATATGTGATGCACACCGGGAAAGTCGGCAAGGCCTCAGGCTTCTTCTTCTCACCTGGTGGTCTTCATCTTGTATTTCTCATCGGCGATATCCTTCTCCGCGTTCTCGAGCTTCTTGTTGTTGTCGCTCAGCTTGATCTGGGCCGCTTTCAGCACCTCCGACTGCGTACGGACAGTCTTCATCGCCTGCGGTTTGGACATGGTATAGCATTCGTTGTGGAGAAGAAGGAGAATGTTGATCGAGACTAGCAACAACACTAACACTAACAACAACAACAACAACAGGAACCCGCGGTCTTTCTCGCGTGTTCAAAAGTGCGTCGACGACTGGTCAAGCCAAGATCGCCGCTAATCCTGCTAGCACACGTCGGCCAGGTGGTCTCGCCTGAAATGTGCCCCCTCAGCCGCGGTAAAAGCGACCAACGGGCAGTCGAGGGCGAGCTGATGCGTATCGCCACCCCCCCCGTGCATTGCGTGCTATATAACCACCTTCTGCCTTGGCCTGCACGAACATGCACGCCTCGCCTCGACCCGCATAACTTATTGCCCCAACAGCGTTCTTGGGGGACCACTCTCCTCCCCCCGAAGCAAAAAAAAAATCAACACACAAGAGCAGCCAACAACGCCCCTCGATGGCAAAAAAAAAAAACAAGAACGTAAAGGGCGTTGACCCCCCTCCCTCCCACCACGGCTTCCCCTCTGCAACGAAATACTTTGTTTATTTAACCCATGGTATCAAATAGAGGAAAAGATTCTCAGAACGATTCAAGCGGCGTTCGCCCGCTACCCTCACCCACACACCCTCCATTCTGCTCTGACTCCGCATTCTCTTGGCGCGCAAAGGATTAAGCCCATCCTATTCCCCCCCTCGCCGAATACCTCGAGGCGTTTGGTGGTGTGCGAGCCTGGTCCGGTGAGAAACCGGCGTGCTTTGCAGGGATGCGAGGTCGATGGTCTAACGACTACGGCGTGCACGGCTATGAGTACCCTCGGTTACCCGACGATCCTTCTGTGATTATTCTTACCGCTGATCTTTGAGCACGGATCTCCTCCAAGGCGACCTCCTGCGGGTCCTTGGTTGGCTTCGACGCCACCTTGGTCGTTGTCGCGATCGCCTCTGCGACAATAGAGAGAGAAAAAAAAGCGTGCTCGAACGAAAAAAGGAAATACAGGTGTCTTACTCTGACGCTATGAATTCATTGCTAATCTATCCCAAGCCTCCTTTCTTAGAGATGGATACGTTGGGTCATATTCAGAACAGAAAAAAGAGAAAGGAGAAGTGCCGCTGATTAGTACGGACAGATGAGGGTACTGGGCAGAGAGACAGGAACGGTCCTCAATGTGACGACAACAAAAACAACAACAGCTGCAAGAGGGACCCGGAGCCAGCATGCCTCCTGAAGTGACAAATTCCATGCCAATACATGACATGATCTCCGCAAAAAAAACAAGAAAAAAGATAAAAACAGGTACGCTTGAAAGGAAAGAAGAAGAAGAGTACTGCTGCCAAGAGGGACCCGAATCCAGCATGCCCCCTCTACAAGGTGCAGATTCCATGCCAACTACACAAAATGTCCCAGAGAAAAAAAAAAAATGGGACTGGCACACTTGAATAGAAGAAAAGGCTACAAAGCGGTGCCTGAACCCAGCATGCCCCTTCGAATCAAAAATCCATGCAAGGGAATGCAGAAGCGATGCCTCCGTGGGGCACCTATCAGCTGACCCCTGTTTTCGCATCAGTCTTGTAATACCCGCCATTGTTCGCGGAGACTTCATTCTTTTTTTGTGGCGAAAGATATACCACATCACAAGGACCCTTGTTGTCCTCAAGACACAGCAACGATCTCGTTATGTTGCCAAGGAGGGAGCACCTCACTTACTACTTGGTCATTGGCTGTCGTGCACGTTTCCGACCCAACTGTCAGCAACAAACAGCCGACGACAATTGCTGCAGAGAAACAACAGGGAACTCTCGCGATGAATTCCATGCTTCCATCGCAAAAATCAAGTCCAGCCCACGGTCACCCCCAACGGCGGAACTCTGCTCGTGGACCACCATGTGCAACGCCAGCACCAACACCGACCACTCCCTCGGAAACACCGCGAACAGCTGCAGCAACGACAACAACGACAACAACACAACAACTTTAATAGGAAAAAGCCGGCGGCAACAACAACCACTCACTCGTGTCAGGTCCCATCTTCACTGTCCCGAAGTCTTCCCGCGCGGCCTTAATCTTATCCGTGAGAGCCTTCTTCTCGGCCGCCGCGGCCTTCTCCGCGGCCAAAGCCGCGGCCTTTTTCTCCCTCTCCTTAGCTTCCGCGGCCGCCTTGGCCTTCGCCTGGGCAGCCTTTTGAGCCTTTTCATTTTTTTCCGAGATGGGATTCCAACGCGATCAAGCAAACATCGTGATTTGCATCCAAGGAGCACAGGCTGGTGTAGTCCTATCCAAGATATGACAACACAGACAGGGTTGTGCAGTACAATCTCCTAACCAACCTTGTTGAAAGAGCCCGCGGACTAAACGTCATCTCGATATGTCCCGGCCGGTGTGACACGATACCAAATGAAAAGCAACACACACACACACACACCCTTCCCCTTCGAGAGACGTCGATTTTACACGCTGGCACTCACGTCTTGTCATTGATCAGATGGCTAGCGCGGTCGTTACTAATCAAGAAAATACACACACACGCAAAGCACCCACGCACACAATCGCCGCTGTCTTCATTGTCTCGAAGCGACAACATGCCGTCGTACCGTACCGTATCAAGCACCCACCTGCGGAGAAGGCCCGCTGGGCTTCTTGGGCGCGGGGGCCGGCTTCGGCGTGGGCGCCGGCTTCGGCGCCACGGCCTTCGGCGCCGCGGCCTTTGGAGCGGCGGGAGCGACAGCCGGCGGCGGCGGCGGGGGAGCGGGAGCGGCGACCTCAGGGGCCTTCGCAGCTGGTACCGGCGCGGGGGCGGGGGGCTTAGGCTCGGGCTTGGGAACGGGCGCGGGCGGGGGGGCGATCGGCTCGACCTTAGGAGCAGGAGCAGGCTTAGGCTCGACCTTGGGAGCAGGCGCTGGGGCCGGGGCCTTCTTCTCGACCTTGGGAGCGGGCGCCGGGGCGGCCTTGATGGCCGGCGTGGGATCGGGCGCAGGCGCTGCTGATGGCTTATCTCGTGCCGAGTTGTACTGTCGTGGGAAGATTTGGTTGGGGCATGAGGGGAGGCGAGGACGGTACAACTCAGAGAGGGGAGGGGGGGGGTAAGGATCGACGTGTTTCGCGTGTGATGTGCATGCACCCGGCTTGAAGGTCCCACAAAAAGAAAAAAAATTAGGACAAAGGGGCTCCGTGAGTCTCCATGGTATCCCGCGTGCGCCCCCATGATTTGTTGCCGTATGATACGATCTGGCCAACACCTTTCTCACCGCTGCTGCTCCCCACACAAATGGCTACGTCGTGTGAAACCAGCGGTGACCTCAAGCATGTTACGTTCAATGCGCACGCGCAGACAGTTGATGTGCCCGGTGTCGCTCTGAACCTGGCAAACGCCGTGCCATGAAAATAGAAGGCTGTTGATTGAAGCCCGTTTAGCCGTTCTCAACACCAACTTCATGCTGCTATACAAAATACGAACAGATCAACGCAGATCAGCGATTTTCAAGCTCTGGTGCCTGCCACCGTCCCTCATACGATGCGCAGACGTGAACAACACAGACGCACCCGCCATAAAATAGAGCACGCTCGAGCCTCTCAGCGGCAACGTCACAGATGTACTATGATATTGCACAACCCGAACAAAAGATGAACTGAAAAAAAATACACGTCGCCACGAAAAGCTGTTGTATCCATCCATAGGGTGTCTGTGTGTTCGTCCCATTTTTTCTGGTGCGAATCTACGCGCCTTTCGGTGTACGCTTTAGGTGAAGGTGACACAGAAACTTTTTTTCTTTGCTCTACCTTGCCTCCCGCGGTGCCTGCCATACATATAATCGCGAGGAGGCTTCAGCAGTCCCCTCCCTTGTCTACCATTACAAATGGGTCGCATCGTGTATACTCGCCAAATTGGTCGCGTTCCAAGCAAACTGCGAGAAAAAAATATATATCCAGAGACATGGATCGAATCCACAACTTGCTACCAGTAGGTTTGCGAGGTTAACCACCAAAAAACTATATATGGTGCGCAGACAAAAAAAAAGAGGGCGGCAGCAGCAAGCATCGCACCTCCCCGAGTAAATCCTTGAGCATGGGGTCCCCCGCCGTGGTCGCCGCGGCCGAGAGCACCAGCGTAGGCGCTGCCCCCCCTCCGCCACCCCCCGGAAGCACGGCCTCCCGGGCCGACTGCGCGGCAAGGGTGGCAGCCGGGTCCGTCGACAGCAGTGCCATGCCCACCGCCGCCACAAGGAAGGGGTTCTTCAACGCCGGGGAAGCGCCGTCCGATTCGTCGGCAGCGGACATGCGGCACGGTACATCGTTGCGACTACGTGTGTCGGCAGCGGCGCGACCTGCTAGTGATGCGCAGAGACAGCGAGACAGAGAGGGGGGGGGGGGGGGGTACTCATAGTCGTGCATGCCGTAGTCGTTAGACCATTGACCTCGCATCCCTACAAAGCCGGGACGGAGCACGCCGGGTTCTCACCGGACCAGGCTCTCACATCACCAAGCGCGAAGCGCCGTGAGATATTCGGCGAGTCGCATGAAGGGTGCGCTGCATCCTGCTAAGGGTGTTCGGCATCTTGTGCTTACTTCCTTGCATACGGATGACAGCTGCGTATGACTTAATTTATTTTCTGGTACTATTTCCAGAGAAGAACTGTGTAACTGCCTCGAGGGTGCTTGACCGTTTTAACACAACGTGGTGCGATCACCCCCCTTGCGCGGAGTGAGGGTTCTCGACCCCGCACAACATGATCTACTCGACCACCATTATGGTTACCGCCAAAATAAAAACAGAGGAAAAAAGAAGAACAAACGGTAACCTGGTTGCCGAGTTCACGAAGTGAATTGGCTTGTTTTACAACGTCGTTGCCAAGCGACGAAAACCCAA